AGGCCAAGAGGCAAAAAGAAAAGAAGCATAGGAGAAGCATAAATGCCTAAAGGCCCCATGACCCTAGAATCCTGGCTCTCTAGACTTTTCTAGACTATCAATCTATTTAGTACAAATGGAGGGGTTTTTTTTAAGAAACAATCTGTATTTAAATAGGGGGAAATTGTGTGATTTATGTAAATTTGTGTAGCTTTAGAAAATTCCACAGTTAGTCCTACAGTGAATTGGCCTAGAACCCTTGGTTGACAGGGCCCCTACCCTGCCCAGAGAAGACAAAGCCTAATAAGGAGTGAGCTAGAGGTTCAACCCCTGAGTCCAGGAAGAATTCCCCTGTAAGTTCCCCTGCCTACTCAGAGCAGTTTCCCTAGTCAGAGAAAACTGATGATGGTCAGGGACTTGGAGACCACTAATGCCTCCAGCTATGCCTGCAAACCTGCCTGTCATGTTCTCTGCTATATCACTGTACTGTGTAGCACAGTGTCTTATACATGCTAGAACCTCAAACTACATTTGAATAAATGAATGGATGAATCCTGAGATCAAAAGACAGAAGACTAGAACAGCTAGAAAAGCTTAGAACAAAGGAAAACGGCAACACAAAAGAGGAACAGGAAGCTATAGTAAAGTGGCAAAGAAAAAGCTACTACAGCAGAAAACAATGGCAAAGTGGGGTAGAACAAGAAGAATTGAGCAGAAAAGAGAAAAAAAATTGCTGTACATATAAGTAGCTTAAGAGAGTTAGGTATAATGATAGTTATACCTAACTGATACATATTATACCTACATATAATACAAGTTATACCCAACTCTCTTATTATGCCAGTATAATACATCAGTGTATGAATTCTACAAATCCTCTTCTGAAAAACAAAAGGAAACCAAGATCAGACAAAGACATTACAAGAAAAGGATATAAAATACCAATATCACTCATGAAAAGAGAAACAATATCCTTGACAAAACATTAGCAAACAAAATCCAACAATATATAAAAAGGATTTTAAACCATAACCAAGTAGTTTTATCCTAGAAATGCAAGGGTGATTCAACATTTGAAAATCAGTCAATGTAATTCGCCATATTAATAAATTAAAAACAAAAACCATTTGGTCATCTTAACAGATGCAGGAAAAGCATTAGGTAAAATTCAACATTCACTCGTGATTAAACTCTCAGTAAACCAGGAATAGAAGGGAACTTCCTGAACCTGATAAAGGGCATCTACAAAAAAAATCAAACATCATACTTAACGGTGAAAGACAGTACTTTCCCCCTGGGGATGGGAATAATGAGACTAAGCTGTCCACTTTCACCACTCCTATTAAACATGGTACTGGAATCCCCAGTCAGTGCAGTAAGGCAAGAAAAAGAATAAAAGGCATAATTGTGGGAAACAACAATTATGTTGAGTGAAAAATATTCCAGATAAAAAAAGAGTATATACTATATGATTCCATTTTGATAAAATTCTAGAAAATTCAAATTAATCTATAGTGACAGAAAACATATCAGTGGCTGCTTAGATGGTGGTTGGGGGAAGGATTACAAAGGAGCACTGGAAAACTTTTTGGGATGATGGATATATTTATTATCCTGATTATGGTGGTGTTTTCACAGATATATACACTGTACACTTTATGTCTTTTATTGTCTGTCAATTATACCTCAATAAAGTTGAAAAAAGGGAGGCTTAAAAGACATATCAAACTAATTTTAAAAAAAGTTAAGGTTTATATACATAAGAGTTGTGCTTACCTTTGAAGAGAATGTACGGTAGATCTCACGTGAAAAGATATCCAGGACATGTTAATTGAAGAGTAGAATGTTATTAAGGTTGCCAGATTTAGCAAATAAAAATATAAGACTCCCAGTTAAATTTGAATATCAGATAAACAGCAAATAATTGTTTAGTATAAATTATCCTAAATATTGTATGCAACATACTGTAGTAAAAACTTTTTTGCTGTTTATCTGAAACTTATACTAAACAATTGTTCATTGTTTATCTGAAATTTCAAATTAACTGGTCCTGTATTTTATCTGGCAATCCTAGATATTGTCTTACCTACAATGTATGAATTCAAGCCTCTAAAAAGGGCAGCTGCTTGAATTCTGTGTTTATTTTGACTTAAGCGAAGCTGCTGAACTACTGTACTCCAGACAATGGATGCATGCTGAGTGGCCAGCACAGTGCCTCATTCACTGTAGGGTACTTAAAAAATATTTTATGCTTTGTAAGCTGTGTGAAGATTGGGACTGCATCCATCTTGCTCACCATTTTATCCCCAGGGCCTATTACAATGCCTGGTGCTCAAATAATATATGATTAAATGAATAGTTGCCTCTCATACTCCAGAAAATGTCAGGGTTGACCTTGTAGCTCCAGCCCTTGTAGCTGGCTGATCGACTTTTTGGACAAGCCCCAGTTCTGATTTCTTGGCTTGTCTCTCTTCTCACTGTTGCTATGTGTATCTCGGATTGTTGTTTGTATTTTGTGTGTGACTGACCTATCCTTACCTAGAATGCCTCTTGTTTTCCCCTTTGGACCCTGGGTGATTGCTCTGAGACTCTGAGACCCCAAAGCCCTTGGGAAAATCTGAAAGTCTGAAACACAACAGCTAGGTTTGCTTATGAAATATTGGAGCATGCTCCCTTTAGAGCTAAAGAGATTTGGGATGGGGCTTAGTTTGAGGAGAAGACCAGAATAAAAGGGAATCTTAATATACTAGTGGTGAGAAGGATTTTATACAATTGAGATTTTTATTATCTGTCCCATAAATACCTGAAGTACAAAAATGCATCCAAATTCTAAATGCATTACTTTTTTCCATAAAATTAAGAAGTTAATCTAAGGTTTCTCCCTGTAGTTTACTCCCACAAATACGCAGAGATTGTAGAAGTTATTTCTAGTGAGAGAAGGATAGTATGGAGAAATATGTCTTGTGCTTAGATTTTAGAACTGAAAGGATCTTAGGCATAATTAAGTATAACATATATGTAGTATAACTACTTCCTTGTTTTGAAGACGAGTATGAGCCCCACTCTCCCATGTTCATGCAGTGATCACACGAGTTGAGTGAAAAAAATACCACTCAATAAAACAAAAAGTACAGGTCTCCCTTGTACTTTTATCTTTATAACCCAGTTTCCCTCTTTCTTAGTTAGCAGTTAGTGTGGTGACAGCTACAGGGTCCAATAGTATTAAAATCAATCAATCACCTTGTGCTTAAAGCATACCCATTACTCTACTTGAGATGCCGAATGTTGTTCTTGGGTCTTTTTGAGTCCAAAGATTCCTCCACCATTAAAGTTTATTTTATCCTTCATAGGTGTCTCCTCATCTGATTCCCCCTTCTTATATAGTTATATTTTCGTCCTGGGGAAACATTAAGTACAGGCTACTGTGGTTTTGAGATACTTTAAGTCACTGGTTCCTTTCTATGCAAAAAGAAATTTTAGAAAGTGGAGAGGAGGAAGGTGGCGGAGATTTCTAAATGGACAGAACACCTGCCCTTGGTTTTTTTCCATAGATGCAAATGTTTTGGATAGTTTTATGCTGTTATGAGGATGATATAAACTAAATGCTTCCACACAAGCATTGTGGAGAAGGTAAGAAGAGAGGGAACATCACGTTTTGTAAATACAAAAAAAAAGTTACTATGAAAGAATTCATCAAATATTAATATTTTCCTATAGGGATGATAAGAAATAAAATGAATCCTATCAATTCCCAACGCAAATGAATTAGGGGAAAATGCAGCCAAATAAGCAGAGGTACTTACCCCTCTCCCAAGGGAAGATGAGGTCTTATTAAGGTAGCGAGTACCGTGCACGATGTTTTGAGAGTGCCAGTTGAGAAATGATACAGATAGGGGAAACGTTAGCATTTACTTTTATTGGTATGGTGACGCAAGAATTGTCACTGCAGCCTTTGGTCTGCGTCCAGACGTAGCGACTCCGCATGCTGCAGGTGGAGGAACTGGCCACGGAGAGGGGAGCCGGGACGCAATTCTGCAATCTATGCTCACAGGGGTCTGTTCTGCCTCCGAGGCTGCATTGCAGTGAGGTGTGAAAGGTTCGCGTGTACCAAAGCTTACGGGCCCTTCTGTAGCAGGAGGGATTCGAAGGACACGGAGAAGCATGATCTCATTTGAGGCATGTGATTCTGAGGTGCTCAGGGTCCAGCATCACCCAATTGGGTAGGAAAGGCGAAATGCTAAAACGACGGCTCTTGCAAGCGCCCAGAGTACCGAGTGCAATGTTTCCTCCTGTCCGGCAAGGGCCGCTAGGAGCGTGTCCCAGCGTGGGGCCGCTCACGTCGGACGTTGGTCTCTGTGGCCCCTCCCTCCGCCCCAGCCGCGGATGGCAGGGCGAGGACGCCGCCAGCACGCGTGCGCGCTCCCTCGGTGCAGCTAGTCCGTGAGCGTGAGTGGGAGGTGGCAGGCCTCAGACTGTGGCCTTCTCCACTAACTGATCCAGCGCGACGCCTCCAGCCATGAACCGGTTTGGTACCCGGTTAGTGGGAGCTACGGCGACCCCGTCACCGCCGCCGAAAGCCCGCAGTAATGAAAACCTCGACAAAATTGATATGTCTCTGGGTGAGGAGCCGAGTTGGACCGAGTTGAAGTGGGGGGGAGGGTGTGGGTGGAACCAAGTATCGCGGTTTGTGGGGGAAGGAGGTTGGCCGCAGTTGTGGATCGAGTTTTCTTGCGGTGGGCGGGACCCAGTGAGGGCCTCTGGGGACAGGGAGAGCGTTAGCTGGTGCAGCGTGCGGGGGTCGTGCTTGAGGGATCCCGGCGTCCCCTCGGAGGGGCTGTGTCTGAGGAGGGAGGTGAGGGCGGATGGCGCTGCGGGACCGGAGGTTTGGAGGGTCGAGGGGTGCGTAACTTCTGTCCCCCCGGAGGGGCGCTACCACTCGCGGGTGACCCCGGCTCTTTGTGAGGAAACTCCGCGGGCTTCGCCTCCAGGGTGTTCGCTGTGAGCGTTATCCGGCGAGCGAGAGGAATGGTGCGACTCAGCCATCCTTTCTGAGGAAAGCTCGGAGAGCCCGGCTGGATCCGCATTCGGTTAAAATCAGTGTCTCCACTAAAGGGCTCGTTGGGCATTTTCTGTGCCCAGGCCTATGCCTGGCGCCGAATGAGAAGAGTAAAGACGTCCCCGAGAATTGGCGGTTTCTGACGTGTGCCAGACCTCGGGACCACAACTGGGCACAGACCCCGGAGCGTTTGTCAGAAAATATCGTTAGGCAGGACTTAATCAGAGGGTACTTTATTAGGCGGTGCCGAGAGAAGCAACAATTCCTTATCTAGGTCTCCAAGTTAGCTACTTAGAAAAAAAAAAAGGCAAAAACAGAGGGAGAGATTCGCATGAATTGATGCGAAGCCGGATAAAGCATGGGATCTAGCACGTATAAGAAGGGGGTGGAGGGTGGTTCGGTGATGATGATGTAAAAAGCCGGAGGATTGGCGATTTAATTAAAAATGGAGATCTAGCACTACTGAGGCACGAGTCTCTGAGTTTGGCTTTGCTAGTTTAAAAGGAATTACATTTTTGTCGGGATTCAAATTGTATTAGATGTAGTTAGCTTTGCCTGTTCTTTCTGTTTTGGGATATTTGAAAAGTACCTGAGTAGTGGATACAGAGGTGTTACTTTTCCGAGGACGGTAATTTTCTTGTGTTGTAGTTTACCTGCAGAGTTTTTAGTCAGAAGTCAAGAACTCTTGGTTTCTATCACTGCCACAGGTCAGAACCCAGTATGTGACTTAAGTAAATCACCAGAAATAATAGATGTGGCCTTAACTTTTGTCTTACTGCTGGTCAGTAATGAACCCTAAAGGAATGAGACATCTTTTGAGCTAAGGCCAAGAAAAAAATATCATAACGAATATTTATTGAGTGCTTACTACCTGCCAAGCACTAGACTAAACATTTTATGTGTGTTAGCTTGGTTTATCCTCATAATAACCCTAATGATAACTCATAATGTACTCGTAATGATAAAGACATGGAATCCAGAATCGCACTGTATCCGTTTAAATCTGACTTCTGCCACTAATAGCAATGTGATCGTATGCAAATTACTTCTCAGTGTCTCATCTGTAAAAAGGTGATAATAATTGGCTTATCTACCTTAGAGGGTTGCTGTAAATATTGAATGAGTCAAGGCAATGCATATATAAACTGCTTAGAACAGTAACAACTATATATATATATATATATATATATATATATATATATATATAGGCATACTATATAAACCATTGTTATTTCCATTTTACAAAACCTGAGGCTTAGAGAAATAACTTGCCTGAAGTCATACAACAAGTAAGTGATGGAGCAAGGATTTTGGTCTGGCTCTGGAACCCTAAGCTGTAGATATTGTAGAAGTGTTAAACAACTATTTTCAGAACCAATACATTTCTTAAGTTTCTAGGATTTTTGTGTGTATTTTGTTTGATGATTAGTATGTTCAAGTGAAGAAAACTGAGGGATAATTCCCTCTGAAGGTAGAAATGAAGTGCTGTGAATAGCTAAAATAAAGAGCTTGATCTCTTTTCTCTCCTCCAAGAACTTACTGTTAGATATAGTCCAAGAGCATTCTTTCAGCTGCCTTTTTGTTTTGTTTTAGTGAGAATTTTACAGATATGGGATGGAGAAATACCTATTTTAGACAACTGTTATGCTTTGTGAATGTTTCATTTTATCAGGTCTGCAGAGGTTTTAGAATCTAATTTTTTTTTAAATAGTGGTTCTACCAGAATTATATGAATATTCATGTGTAATATCTACCAAGGTTACCAGTAACTGATCTCATTGTGGCTCAGTTTCTTAATTTGAAAATGAGTATTATTGTACTTATTTCATAGAATTGTTGTGAGAATTAAATGAATGCATGTCAGAACAATGCCTGTTAGTACTCAGTTACTACTAGTACTATTGTTAGGACCATGTATATACATACCCCTGGTGTTATAGGAGGAACTTTTAAAAATAAAAGTAGCTCATCATAATGGATTTTTTTGTTTTCTGATACCTACCCTATCTTCTCCCTGAGTAGGAGAAAGATATTCTCTCCTTTTAGGTTGGAAGAATCCTCTCTGCCATAGTAGCTCATTTAACTTGAGGACTTAGATAATAAAGTGTTTAAATATAAAACGTAATTTTATACTTGATATGCTTTGCTACTTTTAATTTATAATTTTTTGTTTGTTTGTTTGTTTGCTTGTTTTTAGCTGAGCCATCCTGCCACCTGTTGGCAGCTCAGCGGCAGCTCATCTCGGGCCAGGACTCGAACCGCTGTTGCTCAGAGCTCGCACTCGTGAGTGAGCGCTTAACCAACTAACTGAGCCACTCTGCCGACCCTATAGTTATGTTTATACTCTATAATGCTCTATTTTAAAATGAACCTGGTTAATAAAAAAAATTTTCTTTTTTTGGTCCCCGACCACATTCATTTTTTTGGTGTACTCTCATGGCTCTGAAATTTTAGACTTCTGGTGAAGAATAGCACCCTGTTAAGGGAAAGTAGTGTTTCAAAATTAGCATCTATTTCCTTTCTGCTCACTGAGAATTTAACATGCTTATGTATTTGATATTCATGAAACCATTTTATTTGTTTTTTTAAACTGTTTTTAGTGTCTTTAACTTTGTTGAACTCTTTTGTAGTTGAAGGATTGATCTCAAGAAGATAACGAAGTACTTTGGGTAGATTTGAATTATTTTATATGAATATTTGTTTGAATATGAGTAAGAGTTTTAAGGATTATAGATGAGTGAGGTAGAGTAGTAATATATAAGAAAAAAATCCCTATAACCTAAGTTTCCTTCTTTGACTTGAGAAAAGTCTAATTATATTGATAAAGTTGTTAGATTATTTCTCTAAATAATCTAGTCTGGAAAAAAGTCACTGAGGTGAATTAGTTTTGTGATGTTTTATTAAGAAATTGTTGACCATGTTCACTTTCTTAGGTTTATTTGCTTTATGTTCAATCATCAGAATTAATATTGGAGTTGGGACTTTGGAGAAATTGTTTGGACATTCCTTCAATGAATATTTTTGGCTTCTAGTAACCTTTTAAATTTATTAAAGTATAGTTGGCATACAATATTGTATTAGTTTCAGGTGTACAGCATAGTAATTCGACATTTATGCACCTTACCATGTGATCCCCACGATAAGTCTATTAACCATCTATTGTGCATAGTTATTACGATATTATTGACTCTTGTCCCTGTTCTACTAACCTCCTTTTAACAGACGTAAATAGGAATCTGGAGAACATTTTGTTTCCTGGTCTTCACATTGTTCTGTTGTGATATTGGAGCAATGTGATACTTGTGAATTACCTTGGGACACTTTGAAAGTGTTTTTGGAAATAATGGGCATTAGAGAAAGCAGTGTAGCAAGAAAACTAAGGTAACCCTGAATTACTTTGCTAAAGGAGCGGAAACCAATAGTATTTTCTTTTTGTACTATATCTTTATTGTGGTACTTGTTTGATTTTGTATTTCCTATTTACATGTCTGTTTCTATCAGTAATTTTAAACTTATTGAGAACAGGGGCTATATTTTACTTTTGTTTGTTTCTGTTGCAGTACAGCCTGCCACAAATATTCATTGCACATAGTATAGTGCTTAATAAATATTTGGTGAATTGAGATGAACTTAAAATTTTAGTCTTTTAATTGAAGGATTTATTTTTTGACTGCCTGTGGTTTTATTGAAAGGTAGTCATCTTTAAAAACTGGAGACTTCTGTAATTATGGGAAGAAGTATTGGTAATTTTTATAAATAGCCTTTTGATGTTTACGTTTATCAGGGAAAGAAAGAAATACTATGAATAACAGAAATCTTCATTAATTGGTAGGTCTACTTTGGGCTGTTGTTTTGAACTTTTCCTAGAAAATCTTCCTTCAATGGCCCAAGTGTTTTGACTGATGTGAGTTTTTATCTTCTTATTATTATCCTCTTATGCAAGTGCTTTCAAAGTAGAAAAGAAGTTAGGGGCATGGAAATCTTATCAACTAGAAAATGAGACTGAGTAATTGAGTCATTAAGTTAAAATGAAAACAAGTAATCATCACATTCCTCTATCACAGATGATATCATCAAATTGAATCGAAAGGAAGGAAAGAAGCAGAATTTTCCGAGACTAAATAGAAGACTCCAGCAAAGTGGTGCCCGGCAATTCAGGTTGAGAGTACGATGGGGAATCCAACAGAATTCTGGTAAGTTTTGCAAGCAAGAATATAGAGCTGTTATTTAGGTTCATAGTATACTATCTTTAATACATACTTAAAACATGGAGGAAATATACCAGTACCCTTTGTTTGTGATTTGTAATCACTCTCAAGTTTTTGTTTAATCTTAAAATCTGGTAAAAATTTAAGTTGCCTTAAATAGTTGATAGCACTGTTTCTTTTTTTTTTTTTTTT